AAAAAAAAAAAAAAAAAAAGATTCCGTTTTTTTTTTTTTTTAATTCGATATCGTACCAGTATATGATATTTCCTTTATCTATTCTAATATTAATGGTTCGATCATAAATTATATAACTTTACTTGTACATTTATATTTTATGAATGTTCGTTTAAAACAATGTAAAAAAATTGTGATTTAAAATTCAAAAAGGAAATTTGCATATTATTAAAAGAAAAAAAACTTTTTAAAAGAAAATTATACTAAATTATACTATTTTAACAAAAAAAAAAAAAAAATTATATTATCTTAATATTTCTTCGTTAAACAAACAATTTTGTCTTATTTATATTTTTTGATAATTATTTACATATAAGAATCGTTTCATCGGTTTCCTTGAGATAAGTTGAATAATTATTCGAAACAATTTATTATAATTATTTATTTTTTTTTTTTTTTCATTTTTGCTTTTTTCATTAGTATCGTTTTTTTCGTGTTTTCATTTACCGAAATACGGAGAATTATATCCCGTGTAAAAAATCGATGAACGACGGTAAAATTCTTATCAAGAATTTTTCGATAGATTTAATGTAACGATCTATTACAGAGAAGAGAAGTATCGCGGTCGGTCGTCTGAGCGGTGGATCACGGATAAATTGGAAAACAAGGCCGTGAGGACAGTTTGTCAAGGCGGTGCTATTCAATCCCATTCGGAAATAGCGGTGCGAACTAGACGGTGAAATCCCTTCGAAATTACTTGTTCTCAAGAGCTGAAGAATCGAGTAACATCGAACGTGCGTTTAATAAAAATCATTCTTAAAAATATCGAGGAATCACCTTAACATCATCCACACATATGTCAATCAAATAAAATTATTCGCATCAAGAAAGTTATATTATGTAATAATTTTAGACGTAAATTATTTTTCCTGCTTTTTTGATTTTCGTATCAAGTAAGGATTTAAGATTTGGATTAAAGATTTTTAAATATCTTGTTAAATATCCTCATCTATTTTTATTAGATTAAATGTATTAATTAAATGTCAAGGAGATCGCAAGTTTAATCTCGCGGTGTATGGAACATCGTGAAGTGGTGTAGTTATGCAAATCGGTACCGAAACTTTTTAATGAAAATTTGTAATTTCGAATTTTCTAAGAACTCTAAACTTTCGAGATGCGATGAAAATGTTAATCAAACGGTGTCTCGGTGTTTCAACGGGATATCCAACGCCTGTTGTGACTTGCTGTTTGCATTTAAACGTAGCTATTTAGACGATCTTTGTTCGTTTTAATGCAGTGATATTATTTCTATACTTTGGAAATCTTTTAGAGAATAGATTTTATTTCAGCACAAACTCATTTGATAAATCAATTTCTAATTATAATTACGTATATCATTGATATCCAATCATTTACAAGGAATTTATAAGGAAAAAAAATTATCGAATACGGAAATAAAATGATACTTGAGTTTATTAAAAATGTTATGTTTAATATTTTTTTATGAATGTTTTTAATTTTTCTTTTCCTCGACACATTTTCGAGATTCTACTGTTTATGAGAGAAGAGAAAGAGAAGAGAATACTACCGTGAGAATACTATCATGCAAGATCAGAATTGTCGGCAAGTACGATACTCTACCTCTTCTATCGCTAAAATGGCGAATTTCTATAGGGAGAATACATTACGTCACATTATTTTCATATACCACTGAGTCACGTGATATGATGTTTAGTTTTGACGAAAACCCGGTCACGTGATGTATCTTTCCTAATTCAGCAGTGAGGTTATTTTGGCAAATAATATAACGGAATCACTTTTAATAATAGAAGACGTACCGTGCTCGTTTAACAATGCTCGTTACGCACAACAGGATAATAATATTTGGTTTGATAAGTTTTACCTTATAAATTGTTCAATTTATATTATCAGTTAAAGTCAATTAGTGATTGATCAATGATCAGTTAATAGTCAATTGTAACTTACTTAATTTTTGTTTGCTAGTATGTGTTCCAATATATGTGATACAATGTGCGACGTTTGGCTTTGATGGAAGCCCGATATACTTCTGCTTACTCAGCAGTTGGAACAAAATAATAATAGTCATTTTTAATGGTAGAGGGGATAATAATGTCTGGTGTGATAACTTTCTTTGGAACTTTTTTGTTTAACACACTATTCGATGCATTATATAATGATCAATGAAATGAACAGAACAACAACTTAATTTTTGTTTGTTTCATTATATGTTCAGTATACGATACGATACATGGTTTTGATGGAAGTCTCGTCACGTGATATATTTTTAGAGTCACTTTTAACGATAGAGGGAGTACCGTGCTGGTTTGGCAATTTTGTTTGGAACTTTTTTACCTGGCGCGTCATTCCGTGTTTTATAATGATTAATATCAATTAGTTAATCAATAAGTCAATAGTCAATAATAATTTAATTTTTATTCAATATGTGTTTTAATGACATGACGTGACGTTTAGCTTTAAAAAGAAATCTGGTCATTAATGTATTTCTATTTAAGTTAGCAGTGGGGATAAAATAATCTATCAGAGTCACTTAATGATAGAGAAAATGGCATGCTCGTCTAATAATTTTGCTTAAGAGTCTTATATAACGCATTGTTCGGCGTTTTATTGCAATTATTAGTTAATTATTAGTTAAAGTCAATTAGTGGGTCGATCAATTAGTAGTTGATATTAATTTACATAATTTACATTTTTTTTGTTTATTTTAATATATGTTCTAATGATGTAACATTTGATTTTAATAAAAATCTGATCACATGATATATTTCTACTTAATCCAGCAGAACTATTTTTAGACGCAACTTTGCTTTTTTGCTTAACTCATCGTTTTTACTCAATAATCACTCAGGAATCAATAATTCAATTATCTTGTTTCAGTATGGAAATCGATCTTTCAAAGATGTGCCTACATTTACATTGATAGGTTATAATTTTATATCGATCAAAAAACATAACTATAAACGAGATTAATAAATAAGGAAAAGAATAGACAAGATATAATAAATAAATAAATATCTTAACATCTAACAAATTATAAAAACAAGACAAGACTGTATAGGTCGATGACATTTATAAGAATAAGTCGGTACTTTACTTTGCCAGGGTGAAATTAAATTCAACCAAGATAAATGGGAGTACTAAGCGTGCTTCGCTTCGGTGAACATGTGAAATGTAAATTAGTTTGAATTAAGGTGGAGTTCACTGGTCAGGCTTCTATTAAATGTATAAATACGCGTGGACGGTTTCCAGCGGCTGCGATTCGTGTTTCGTGTCGCGTTACCAGCTGCGACACTGTTTCTAATTAAATGATACGCTCTTTTAACAAATCGTTGGAATTCATTTTTGTTTTCAATTGTGGTTAAATGAATAATTTAAATAATTATGGTTATGTAAATAATTTAAATAATTCTGATTATATGGAACGATAATTACAATTATATAATACTTTTATAATATTTTTTTTATATAATATTTTAAATATGATTTTTAATATTTTAATTGATTAAATGTATTATTCGTTTTCTCTTTTATTATATCAGAATATGAAATGAATAATTCGAAAAGATTAAAGATTATATTGATTTTTTTAAATATAGTATTAATTGTATTGAATAGATTAGATTAGATTATGTAAAACGATAGTTAATATAAGTTAAAAATTTAAATTAGTCAATTATTAAAGCTCAGGTCGTCGAGATCGCTGAAAGTATATGCAAGTGCAAGTTTCGTGCTCAAGTTTAATGTAAAAAATTCTAGCAAGTGGACACTATGTATATACATATACCATGTTATATACAATATTCTCATCACAAGTATAAGAATATGTACGTGGCACTTTTTATTAATTTTTTGCATAGTGCGGAACTCATTATCCACGTATCTCTTCGTTCGATCAAAAATTTAATTTTGAGATCGTTATTCTATCTACATAATTTGTACGTAAATATAAAAAAAATAGAATTCAAAGATCTACAATGTGTCTTGATTAATTCGAATTAATATCGATACGAATTTACAACCTTTTCCAGATGAAAATATATTTTTCCAATTCTGTTCTCATAACCTTACTTATTCATTAAACCAACAATTTTCATTCCTTCCTAGAACTTTTAAATGTTAAAACTAATTTCGAATGATCTTTTCTTTTGCCATATATTTATTTGCTTTTTACGTATGTCAATATTATAAATTAATTATAAATAAATCGAACTTTCATATCATTGTCATCTCTTCGATACGTAAATAAATAAAAGAAATTGCACGTATCAAAAAAAAAAAAAAATATAAATTTCGTGAGATGACAAAAATTGCATATACGATCTTTTATTTTTTTTTTTATTTCATATAGCTCCTGTTAGTAAGAGCTTTTCGTAGGATTTTGTAATATTTCCTGGTCACGTTCAGGTTATGCATGAACTTTAAAAAGTGGTGCTTTCGTGCTTACGGAATATTAAAGTCATTCATATTTACCAG